ATGCTCCAGCAAGAGCTCACCAAAGGGTCGTTTAACACATGGCACTGTTCTGAGTGGGTCCTTTCTTGGCAGCCCATCTCCTGTGCTGGCAATGATTACAGTAGAGCACAGCACAGCTAGGCTTCGGATCTAAAGAGAGTGGATATGGTCCAAGTTACTCTCAGAAATCCCTTCAGAAGTTGCCGTGCTGAAGACCATGACACCATTTCTCACCAAGTCCAACAGGACCAGCTCTCCTTCCAGTGTTGGAACAAAAATCTGTCTCTCCAGTGGAGCTCCAGGGGAACAATCGGCCTGTGTCTAGAGGCCATTCTGGTACTATATAAAAGCCTTGCTAGTGCTCATATAATATATAACGAGAAGGAGACAGGAGCCAAGACCTACAGGGAACAGCAGATTCATACCCCCCCCCCCCTCATATAATATATAACGAGAAGGAGACAGGAGCCAAGACCTACAGGGAACAGCAGATTCATCCCCCCCCCCCCGCCCTCCCCCCCACCTCCTGTTTTGCTGAACACATATCAAGTTACAGCATGGCTAGACACAATATGCAAACAAAGAGAGCACTGGGCCGGGTTCAGAAAACCCAGGTTCGAAAGTCAGTTTAGCCACAAGCACTTTAGAGAATGCTAAGGCAAAGGGCTCTTAGGAGGCCATAGACTCTTAAAGGGAGCATTACCTTCCCTGACGTTCAGTTTCCTCACCTGTAAGATGAGTGTTTTTGAGTTGGATGATCCTGAGGCTCCATTCTGCAGCCCCTGACGTTGGCTAAGTTCTTGGCAGAGAAAGACTGGCCACCTAGGAAAGCCTCAGTAACCCAGTATCCTCCTAGAAAAGCACCAGCCCTCTTCCCCTCCTCCTGGGAACATCATAAGACAGAGTTTGGTAAAAGTGAAAACAAAGATGAGAAATGGGTTCTCTAAGGGGATGCTTGTCAATTCCCATTGCTTGCTTCCTGTGTCTCTTCAGTTCAGCAGCTCTTAATTTAGCACCTGGTAAAGACAAGCAGAGTGCTACGTATTGGAAAGGTAAAGATATATAAATTGTGCCTGACATTGTGGGACTCCCAATCTTGGCATAATTTTGAGTGTTGTATCACAAGTGAGAAAGCTGAGTGTTTTGTTGTGTTTGGAGGTAAAATCCATTGGTAACAACTGTGGTAGCTGAGTACCTTTTTGCTTTTAATTCATTTCTAGATTCACATCTCTTCAGGGCTGTGGTCATCATTAGTGCTGTTCACCAAATATTTTCAGTTCCGTTTCTACTGAGTAGATAGTACAACCATATTTTCCTAAGCCACTGAAATTGGGTGTGCCCATGTGACTTGCTTTGCTGATAAAATGTGAACAAAAGTGGTATGTTTCACTTTCAGGCAAAAGCCTTAAGAGTCATCACATGCTCCATCCTGATTCCTTTCCAATGCTACAGTAACTGGGAATGCCCCAGAGGGTGGAGGCTCTCAAGTCAGTGTCACTAAATGAGGACAAAGTGGAGGAGAGACCTTGCTGATCCATAATGGACATGTAGCATGAGAAAGAAACAACTTTTATTGTTGCAAGGCATGGAGATTTAGAAAAAAAAATTTATTATGGAAAATTTCAAACATATATTTTCATGTATATAGTATATCAAACCTAAATGTTAAAGTCATTACTCAGTTTCAACAATTATCAATGATCAAGTATCAGTTATCAATATATAAGTCTCTGTGATGTGGCGCTTATTTGTTACTACGGTACAACTCAGACTAATCTTTCCTAAAAGAGGAAAGGATGTTATTTTATGGAAATACTAAATGAACGACAAGGAGGTAAAGGGAATGGAAACAAAATTTATGAGATTTGATTTTTATGCCATATATTTGTTAAAAAGTGTATGCTTTTAAGAATTCCGGAGAGCTAAACATCTGTATGAATTAGTTAAAGTAAAAATTCCTTGGGTTAGTCTGTTTGGGCTGTGATGACAGGAATCCACAAACTGAGTGGCTTATAAATAACAGAAATTTATTTTTCACAGTTCTAGAGGCTGGGAAGTCTGAGATCAAGGTGTCAGCAGATTTGGTGTCCAGTAAAGGCCAGAAATTAAGGTCTGTAGAACGTTAAGTACTGTTCTCTCCACAGATCCAGTTTTATGTAGTTTATTTTGTCACAGAAGGACCTTAAGGCACATGTTTTGTTATTCCTCAGGTGTATCTGTTACAATGATAGTAGTATAGCAAAGTTTCCCAACAAAACCTTAACTTGTAGTTTAACCCACTGAGAACTTGTGTTTTCTTAAGTTTCTCTCTCTGTCCACATACACACAGTACGTGGGTGTGTGGCTGAGCTTTCTATTCTGTCCCACTGGTCTTTTGGACGGTTTCTGAGCCAGTACTATTGTCATTGCATTGACTTTGTGGTGTATTTAATTGGCAAGTCTCTCCTGTTCTCTTCTTTTTACAAGTTAATTATTTATTTATTGAGAAATCCAACTAAAACTTTGATTGACATTACATTGAACTTATAGGTTAATCATTAATATAACTAGGTCTTTATAAAGCCCTCCAAAATAAGTCACCCTGTATTAGGTTATACAGTCAAAAAGCATGGAATGTGCTCTATTTATTCAGGTCATTTTCTTTTTCCTTATTTGAATTTTTAAAATTTTAATAGAAGCTTTGCGTATTCTTGGGTAATGGCTTTCTACATAAAGAATTTTGTAATTCTTGTTACTGTGAATGGTATCTTTTTAGTGTGTTTTCTGGCAGGTATTGTGCATGGAGAGAGAGGCTGTTGATTTTTGCAGGTTGATTTTGTGTCTGGCAAACTTGCTGAAACTTAGTAGCTTTAATTTGTTTGAATCTTTGTTTTATCTAAGTTGATGTGTTTTTTTCCACTGCTACAGTAAGAAGCCCCATCCCCCCTCCTTTAATCTCTGTGGTAGGTGGGGTAGGAGAACCGGGGTAGGGGGTAGGGAAAGGATGACTCATTAGGAAGGAGGAGAAGATATCTGGGCCTTTGTGAAATTAACATCTGGGGTCTCCATATCTTCAGAGACTCGCTGTCAGGCCACCGACCACAGTGATGGAGAAAAGATGGCCTAAAGTTCTCTGGTAATGGGGAGGGGACATGCAAAGTGAGAGAGGGAGGGATGCAGAGAGGAGGAGGAAGACAGAGAAAAGGGAAAGGAATGGGGGCTGAGAGGGATTTTGCCTGGGTGTGTGGGGTCCGTGTGAGGCCTGGGAAGTATCAGGGAATGTGGGTGGTAAAGGAGCCTCAGGTTCCAGAAGAGTAGCTGGACCAGAAGATCCATCATCCAAAGCCCTGGGGACCTTTGGTCACTTAACGTGAGGATGAGGAGGGAAGAGCTCTGGCACTGGGAGACAGACTTGGGTACCTGACAATCCCCTCCCACCACCGCCCACGTTGCCCAGTTCATAGAGGCCCCACCCTGATCAAAGTCAGGGCACTGCTGTGATGCTAATGCCCAAAGTTGCCAGAGCCCAGGAACTTCTTAGGCTCCCAACCCCCTACATCCTCAGATCCCCTGAAAGTCAGAGCTGCACCCACAAGGCACACAGAGCTGGGGTCCCTGAGCTTGGTCCTGAAAAGCAGCCTGTTGAGGGAGGAGAAAATGTTGAGAATGTTTTAACTGGGCAGCTTGTTTGCCTTGTTTAATGAGAAGCTGTAACCAAGTATTAGGGTTGCTTTGATTTGGAAACTTCTCTGCACACCTGCGAGGTGGTGAAATGGGGCTGGCTCTGCCCACTGGAGGCAGGATGTGGAGGCCCTGGTTTAACAGCCCAGTTAGTGACCCTGATCTCAGTCCCTGCCTGAGTGGCTGTAAAATGAGGAAAGGAGGAGGGTTTTGTGTTCCCTCTGGGCCTCTCCGCCAAGAGCTTGCCCTGATGAAATTATACATCATCAAGTGCAGTGTGCTTTGCCCCTTTGTGCCTTTAATTAATTCTGCCCCCAGGCACCGAAGCCCTGAACCTAGGAATCTCTCGGGAGAATTTGCTTTTTTAATAGAGATTGGGATGAGCAGAGGCATTAGGCAGGCCTAATCACACAAGGAAGCAGACAGATGCCCTCAGACCCCACTGGGTGCCAGACCCCTTGGGTCTTTGGGGGAGACAAGTTTGGCACTGCTTGTAAGCAACCCTTGGGAGGCCAGACTTTCCTTGTAAATTTATAGCAAACAAACAAACAAAAAAGAGGCCATTTCGGAGCAAAGAAGCCAGAAAAAGGGCCCATGGGGGGATGAGAGAGAGTAAGCCCGGTCGAGTAACCCAGATCCGCTGAGTTTGCCAGGTGCTTCCAGGGGCTGAACAGCCAGGCCCAGGCTGGCCCAGGGCGTCCCCCAAAGCCTGGGGGTGAGGCCTGTGTTTCTGGGTGTGTTTCTCATTTCCTGTTACGGCCTGTCTCCACACGCGGAGTGGCTGTTAAACAGCGGCTTGCAGTGACTCAGCTTTATAAATAGGACATTTACAGTGAAAATTACAGGAAATTCCCAGAGTCTCCTGCCTGAGCTTATTTTAGGTGTGCAGATTACACAAGTGATGTCCCAGCCACCCTCCTCCAGCTTCTGCCCCCTGCAGCATCTGTGGGTATCTGATTTGAGGTAATATCTTCTGCCTGTGACTGGAAACTACCTCAGGAGGCCTGAGAGGGCCAAGGACTGGCACTGTCCACCTCCAGCCTTGTTCAGATGCTGCTGGAGCAGAACAGCTCACTTGGGCTCATACTCACCTTGTCCCAAGTGCTGCGCTGCCACCACACTGACTTTCACTCACTCCCGGGGAGAGGTACATTTATTATCATCATTTTGGATGAAGAAATTGGAATTCAAACCCATGTCTGACTCACTGCGGATCTCAAGAGATTAACCACAGACTCCACTTCCTCTGAACACAGATTAAGAAGGCAAACAGAGTATAGTAAAGAAAAGTTTCTGGAGAGAGGACAGGAGCAGGGTGCCAGGATTCTTTCTTTATATTTCCCTTCTCTTCTTCTCCCCAGGGACACATTTCTTGGCAAGGGGTCTTTTCTGGATATCCAGATGAGCTTGGAATGGCTCAACGGCCCCCGCTGTACCTGGGTATGATGGAGAAGCCAAGAGAGCTGCTGACTCTGCAACTGATGGGGCTCAGGCCACTGCAGGGTTAGGCCACAAACACTGGTCAAATATTTGCCCAGCAACCCCCAGTGTGCTCCAGAACAAGCAGCAGGAGCAGCCCTTGCTGAGTCATTGAATGCTGAGGTGCTCAACAGAAATGTGGATGTGAAGACTTTTTTTCTTTTCTTTCTTTTTCTGGTGGCTGGCCCGTTTGGGGATCTGAACCCCTGATCTTGGACAATGCCTTTTAATGGCTCCCAACTTCTACTCCCTCACAATTAGCCAGGATCTCTCTCGCCAAGGGGCCTGGTTTCTAGGGAGGGCTCTGCTGCTCAGCTGCGGAAACAGGGGCACCTTCTGCATTGTCCTGGTGGACCTGGAACACCCATGTCTTCATCAGGGACTGCCAATGCTTTTCTGAGCTATAGAACTGCATTCCCACAATTTGTGAGATTTCTCCCCATAGATGCCCCAAAGCTTCTGAATTCATCAAGTTCGAAACAGAACACACAAACCAGCTTGTCTCCTTGTGTTCTCTCTTTCAGTTCATGGCACCATAGTTAGAGGCCACTGAATCATCCTAATTCCTCCACTTCTCTCATGCTCCCCTCTCACGTCTAACTGATTCTGCCTCTTGGCATCTGCTTTCATGCAGCCCCAAGTGTCCCTTCACTGCCCGGAGCGTGTAGCCCACGCTGTGTCTTGACCACACCTCTCCCCTTTCTGCCTTTTTCTGACCCAGGGGTGGGCGCACAACCCAAGCTGAACTACTCATAGCCCTTCCCTGGGATTTTCCAAGCTGAAACAGGGAGTTAGACACCTCTTTCTTCTCTCCAAACTAGCTGGGAGGCTGGGGGAGCCAGAGAAGCCTGTGACCGTGTGCCCTACTGCCCAGAACAGCCCCTCTGTTGCAGGAGTGGAGGAGACCGTGCTGCAGAGAGAAGCTGTGGTGAGTGATGGGGAGCGAGGTCCTGAAGGAAGGGGCTTCCTAATCCAGCCATACCCCAAACCAGCCCTCCCCTGGTCCATCCTCCAGGGCCACCAGGATTCTTTTCCCAACTTTTTGTTTTAAAAAAGGTCAAACATGTACTGGCCAGCCACAAAAAAAAAAAGTCAAACTTCAGAGAAGTTTACAGAATAATCCAATGAACACTGCATACCCTTCACCTAGATTCATCACTTATTAGCATTTAGTGACATTTGTGTTTTCTATATATATTCATGTACACATTTTCTTCTGAACCATTTGAAAATAAGCTGCTGACATCAAGACACTTCTCCCCTAAATATTTCAGTGTGTATGTCCTAAGAACATGATCATTTTCCTACACAATCACAATACCGTGATAACATTCAAGAAATTTAACAATGATATAATATTATGTAATATATGTCCATATTCAGTTTTTCCAAGGATATAAATATTATTGTATTTGTTTTTTCCCTTTTCACCTCAAGAGCCAGTCAAGGGTGACAAATGGCATTTACTTGTCATATCTGTTCAGCCCCTGTAATCTAGAATATTTCCCCTGTCCTTTTCTGTATCTCATGATGTTAATATTTTTGTAGCTTTGCCCTCAATTTGGATTTATTTTTTCCTCATGATTAGAGTCATGTTATATATTTTTTTAACAAAAATACAACAGAAATGATAATGGGCTCTTCTCAGTGTATTACATTGAGACACACAATGTCAGTTTGTCCCATTATTGGTGCTGTTAAATCTGATGTCTTTGTTAAGGTGGTATCTGCCAGATTTCTCCATTGTAAAGGTACTATTTTCCCTTGATACCTGGGAAAAATTAAATAAATATATATTCTTTTTTTTTTTTTTTTTTTTGTGACCAGCCGCACCGCGCTCAGCCAGTGAGCACATCGCACCAGCCATCCCTATATAGGATCCGAACCCGCGGCGGGAATGCTGCTGCGCTCCCAGCGCCGCACTCTCCCGAGTGCACCACGGGCTCGGCCCAATAAATATATATTCTTATGCTGGTTCCCTTGGCTCCATTTCCCAGAGGTTGATGCAAAGGGGGCCGGGAGACAACTCCCCTGGGTTGCAATACAGGGGAGGAATGCTGAGCTTAGGGGATTTGAATCTTTTATGATAGGCAGTAAGTCTCCTGACCCTTTATGCAGGAGACATTATTTTTATCATACTGGACACTAAGCATGCCTGCACTTTGCTACAGAGGGAGACACTGTCTCTGTCTTCCAAGACTATTTTCTATACAAACATCCTTGCAAAGGTGGTCCAGAACATAGGTCATGAATGCCCCCGCTCATAAGACATCCACACATGTGACAGACCCATGGAGTACTGTCTCCGAACAGATCCTGGATAATTATCTTTCCACAACACAGTCCAATCATGTCATTTCCCTGTGTGGCTGGTTGGTCCCCAGTACCCATCCTCGCCATCTTCAGTAGTGGACACCAGCACCTCCCCCCACCCACAGCTGTGCACATGGCTTCCCCAAATTCAGTCTGCATTTCCCATCTTCTGTAGCGAATATAAGTAGTGTGTGTAACTTCTGGAAAGTGCCCTTAAAGGATAGGGAGCATACCTTCCTCCTTCTGTCTCCTTTTTCTTGCAACATAAAATAGCAACTTCCCTCCTCCATGGCACCTCCTAATCCTCTCCTCTGCCTTGTTTTTCTCTATAGCGTATAACACCATTTGACACACCATTTATTTTGCTTATTTTGTATACTGTCTGCTTCCTCTCACTAGAATGTAGACTCCATGAAGAGTGCTGGTGCACTATAGTATATTTGTGTCAATTGTTAAAATATTGAAATACTTCTGTATCAATTGGTGACTAGCCATTGCCCCAAGTCCCTATGTGTCCCCCATGGCACCACCCAGGTACCCAACTGTCTTAGTCTTCTCAGGCTGACATATCAAAATACAACAGACTGGTGGCTTAAACAACAGTAATGTATTTTTCACAGTTCTGGAAGCTGGAAGTCCAAGATCAGGATGCTGGCCAGTTAGGTTTCAGGTGAAGGCTCTCTTCCTGGCTTGAAGGTGGCTGCCTTCTTGCTGGGTCCTCACATGGTGAGGAGAGACAGAGAGAGAGAGAGCTCTCTTGGTGTCTCTTCTTAGAAGGGCACTAATCCCATTAGACCATGGCTCCACCCTCACGACCTCATTTAACCCTAATTACTACCCAAAGGCCCCATATCCAAATACTATCACATTAAGGGTTAGGACTTCAACATATGAATTTTGGGGACACAAACATTCAGTCCATAAAGCCAACTAAACAGGTGTTAACTCACATAGTAGGAGGCTCCTACTTCTGCATTAGAGCCAGTGATGTCCTGATTAATCAGAGCCTATGCCAGATCCCTGAGGTGCTTAGTCAATACTTGTTGAATGAGTGCATCATAGATCTTAGGATGGCTCCAAACCTTTCCATTGTCCATCGCAAACTCAAGAGGAGCTAGAGTCAGGCTTTTCAATAAATAAAAATCAGGAAAAAATACAAAGCAGCAGTTCTCTGCTATTTTTTAAAAAAGGACTTAAACCTTTTTTCAAGTCCTTCCTGCTCTTATCTCATCCTACTCCATGGGGAAGAGGAAGTGTCTCTGAGCAGACACATAGAAAGGGAATCATTCTTTTTTTTTTCCTGAGACAAGTAATTGCTAGGATGTTCCTTATATGGACTATGGGACCAGAGAGGGCAGAAGACACAACACAGCAGTGGTGTGAGTGCCAGGAAGGGAACATGAGCCCCAGCAGTCAGCTCAGAGCCACACACAGCTCTCTCACCTTGCCTCTCAGGAGATCCATTCTGTGCCAAGGAGATGGAGTGATTTAAAACATGTGCTGTGGATTGAATGTCCCACCAAAACTCAATGAAGCTTGATTCCCCACTGTAATGGTATAGAGGGTGGAAAGTCAGACCACGGCAGTGTTGAAAGGTGGGGCCTTTAAGAGGTGTTTGGATCATGACGACTATGCCCAGGTGAATGGATTAATCCATTTGTGGAGTAATAGGTTAACGGTTTAGTGGATTGTCACAGGAGTGGCAGTTGTGACCTTATAAGGAGAGCACATGAAAGCATTCCAGCCATTCTTGCCATGTGACACCTGTGTTGCTGTAGAGTCACCACCAAGAAGATCCTTTCCAGATGTGCCCCCTGGACCGTGGACTTCCCAGCCTCCCAAACTGTAAGAAATAAATTTTGTGTTCTTTATAAATGACTCAGTTTCAGGTATTCTGCTACAAGCAACAGAAAATGGACTACTAAAGGCCAACCCCTGGCTCACTTGGGAGAGTGTGATGCTGATAACGCCAAGGCCATGGGTTAAGATCCCCTTACCGATCATCTTTAAAAAAAAAAAGAAAGAAAGAAAGAAAATGGACTACTACATATAGCATGTATCTGTTACATTAAAAAATGAGCAAGCCTTGTTAACCAAGCGATTCCTTGTTCTGGGATCTACCTTTGAGAAACGCTCACACACTTGCACAGGGAAGCATTGCTTATAACAGCAAAAGAAGTTTGAATAACCTAGTTGTCTAGCAGTAGGGAAACAGCTAAAATGTGGTATTATTACAGTGCACTATGGAAACCCATTTACCAATTAAAAAATGATGAATTAGCCTATGCAGACTAATGTAGGAAGACCCTCGAAGATTTGTCATTGAGAGGAAAATAGCAAGTTGAAAATAATACAGGATTTGTATATAAAACCCCCCAAATACATTTTCTGTTCTTTTTAAAACTTCCTTAGAATGTTATCATTTTAAGCATACAGGACAGTTTGGAGAATAAAACAACGAATGCTTGTGAACCCACCATGCAGAGTTTTTTTGTGTGTGCGTGGCCTTTTTTTTGGGGGGGGGATATTTGTTTTAAATAGGAACCATTTTTACCATGCAGCATCTGAAATAAATTTATTTATTCATCCAACAAATATTTGTTGAGTATATACTACATGCCAAACTTTTTCCTGAAGGTTGTGCTAAGCGACGTGGATACAGCTGTGAACAAGACAGACAGGGCTGGCCAGTTAGCTCAGTTGATGAGAGGCAGTGTTATAACATCAAGGTCAAGGATTCCGATCCCCCTACCTGCCAGCTGCCAAAACAAAGACAAATAGCCTGCTCTTTTGGAGCTTAACATTTTGGGGGCAGACAGAAAACAAGCAATAAAACAAATACATTATTACAGATTGTGATAAAGGCTATGAAGAAAACAAACAGAAAATAGGTTTGACCTACTGTATTAGTCTGTTTTGTGTTGCTATAACAAATACCTGAGACTGGGTAATCTATAAAGGACAGAGGTTTATTTGCTTACGATTCTGGGACAGCTGTATCTAGCACAGGCCTAAGGCTGCTTCTACTCATGGTGGAAAGTGGCAGGCCACCTGCGGGTACAAGCACATCACCCGGCAAGAGGAAGCAAGGGGGGGGAGGTGCCAGGGTCTTTTAAGCAACCAGCTCTTGCAGGAACTAACAGCGAGAACTCACTCATTAATCCCCCCACCTAGGGAGAGCATTAATCCAATTCATGAGGGATCCGCTCCCATGACTCAATGAGTTTCCTGCACTGCCACATTGGGGATCAGATTTCCACATGAGTTTTGGAGGGGACAACACATCCAAACTCCATCACCTACCTTGGATAGGAGGAGCAGGGAGGACGATGCGAGGGGGTGGTCTGTGAGCTGAGCCCTGAAGGATGAGAAAGACACAACCATGGGAAGAGCAGTCTGAGAGAGGCCTGGAGAATCTCAGAACCAGGGCTGGCTATAAAATTTGCTAAGCCCAGTGCAAATAAAAATGTGGTCCCTAGCTAGGGGAGGGAAAGTCAATCTCCCCTTTCCAGGGGCTTACTGCCCCAACCCAGGGCAGATGGGAGACCCCCCGCCCCCAAAGGAGTAGGACCTCTGCCTGGGACACTCTTGGTACCTGCATTGGGACTGGGTGAGAGATGCCTATCATCACAACTGTAGTGCTAAGGCTAATGTCGGAATCCTGTCGACATAGCCAATTGCAAAGCTAGGCTCTTATCGGAATCCTGTTTGTGACACCAATTCTGTAGCTACACGGACCATGCCAGTTGTCAGGCTCTTGTACTTGCCCCTAATCCTGCACTGACTGGGCCAATTGTCCAGCTAGGGCTGGGTCTGGAGCTCACAGACCCCTCAAGCCCATTCCAGACTGAGTCACAGACCCTTCACACACCAGGCTGGGTCAGCAGACCCCTCACACGCAGGTCTATGAGCTAGGTAATCGGCAAACAGGTCCTTGGAAGCCATAGGCTGGAAAGCACAGCTGCGTACCTCGTGGCCACCCAAGGCAGTAGTCAGCCAAGGTGGTGGTGCCCTGCAGGCCCACTAACTCCACCCACACACAACCTGCCCATAAAGAATGCTGCACCACCCCCAACCTGCCCCGAGGCAAGGGGGCCTGATTAAATTATTCTATTTTCCCAACACCAACCCTTATGTACCTTTCAGTTAAAGTTTACACGGGTTCGGACCCCTATATAGGGATGGCCGGCTGGCTCATTTGGGAGAGCGTGGTGCTGACAACACCAAGTCAAGGGTTAAGATCCCCTTACTGGTCATCTTTAAAAAAAAAAAGTTTACTTTATCTATTATTATTATTGTTATTTTTGGTGGCTGGCTGTACGGGGATTGAATCCTGGATCTTGGTGTTATCAGCACCATGCTCTGACCAACTGAGCTAACCACCAGCCCTCAGTTAAAGGTTAAATTGCTCATTCTTTCAGTAAATTTCCATAACTCACCTCTCATTCTGATGCTTCCTATCTGCCCTTTAAGATAATGCCTCTGGCACAGAAGTCAAGAGACTGCCTCATGCCTAAGCTGAGCCTGCAGACATCCTTACTGAGCATGCATGAATATCTGACCTTTGACCTTGGAGGGCACTCCTGCCGTCTTCTGCACACGCCCACAGCCTAGCACCGGAACAGATCACTGAGGGACTCCTCCAAACCCTTTAATGCTCCAGGCCTCTCACCACCCCTAACCACTTCCCCATAAATCTACTACCTTCCCCATAGTGGGGAAGGCGGGTCTGAGGTGCTAATCTCCTGCCTTCTCACAATGGCTGCCTTGTGATTAAACTTTCTTTTTCTACTGCAGACACTCGAGTGTGGTGTGACTGGCTGTCTGTAGTGCAGGCAAACAGATCCACTAGGTTCGGTAACACCAGCTGGGGCAGATGACTGCTACGGTGCCTAGTCTATAGATGCCACACCACATTCCTGACTCCAGCCCTCCTTGCGACCCGGCCCAGGATCCTGTCAGGGGTGAAGGGCCATGGTGGAATGTGGGCCTCCCCCTGCCAGTGCACCTGGGCAGAGAGTGGCAATGGTCACAAGGAGGAGGAAAGGGGAGGCCAGGTGGGACCCAGGGCCCCAAAGAGCAAGGAGGCAACAGGAGGTAGAACTTGGGGTTCACTGAGGCTCTGAGTTCAGTGCCAATGTTATGTATGCTCCATTGGCCCATCAGGCTTGACTACAGGCACAAACGCAGAGATAACAAATCCAGGGAATGGGCTGGACCAGTCACACAACTTTCATGCTGGGCCTGAATCAGTTAAAACACCCTCAGATAAGTCATTTCTGAAAACTTAGATTATTTTCTTACATGCTATACAGAGAGACCAAGAAGAGTCTAAACACAGAGGCCTTGCTGGGTTTCCCCACTGAGTCTATAAGCATCAGATCATACTTTTCTTGTCCAGTCACATTTCTCCCTGGCTATGCCTGCTTCATAGAACCTAAGCATAAACATCGACAATTTCCCCTACATCTTTGGGTGTTCGAAGGCTGCTGTGTCACATAAAACTATGACATAATAAAATTTGTTAGGCCTTTTCTTCATATTAATCTGTGTTTATCAGGTGATTTTTTAGAGAACCTTCAGGAGGTTGAAGGGCCTGGATGAACCCAGTAGAGTGAGCTGAGCTCTTCTCTGTCATCCTAGCAAGTTGCACCTCGCCTGCCCAGTCTCTTCCACCAGACACTAGCCCAGAGGAAGCAGCCGGCCAGCTTACAGGACGACTTGTCTGAGGAAGGCAGCAAAGGCCAAGCGTGCTGCCCCCTGCTCCTTGCTCCTTACACCCCTTCCGCCTGGCCCAACACGATGGCCTTGCCTCTTAAAACCCACATGAAAGAACAGGAACAAAGGTGAGCTCACAGGAGAGTGAGGACCCGGAGAGGAACAGGAGACAGAACCCATGGTTATATCTGTGACATCAACCTGAACCTTGGTTCTCTCGGATGCAAAGGGTGTCCTTCCTGCTGGCCCAAACCCTTTCTTCTCGGTTCTGAGGACCTGTGGGGATGAGGGGCACTGGCTGTTTAAGCAGAGAGCTCCAGCTGGGCTTCCATTTTCATTCAAATATCAATTACAAAGGCACCTCAAGGTTTCCCTTGTGTAAACCATTAAACCAGTAAGAAATTTCCAACAAGGGAAGAGGCTTGGAGAAGGAGTAGGCGGTGGGGAGACCTAAGGCTTAGGAGAGAGGAGAGATTTGCGGGGCTGAGTCTTGGGAAGAGCTGACCGCCAGCTGTCCAGGCTTCTGGCAGGCTGCTGGCATGGCTCAGTGGCCCTGGGGAAGTAAGGCGCTGTGGGGAGCGTTCTTACAGGCTTTGTTACTGCTGATGCACACGCAGAATGGGAAGTGCAGTCCTGGTTTGACCTAACCCTCAGTCCCTCTTTAATTGCTATAAAAAGCAGTCATTTTCACCCTCCCTAGTGGCACTGGAGTGCTGGAAAGGTTAATGGAAAGAAATTAAACTAAAAGTAATGTCTTAAACCTATTAATTTAAAATGGCCAAAAAGAAAAAGAGTCTGCAGAAGAAAGAAAACTCCTGCCTTTAATTCCCATTAAATGGGCGAGGGAAAACTCTCTCCTACAAATTATTGAGTCGTTATTGTTCTCCAGTATCTGCAAAGAGAGGTGTCTGGCTCCAAGGATGTGCTAAAGAGCTCTCAGGACAGTCATTTAACTGAGGACAAATAGCCTGAAGAGATCCAGCTTTTCTCACGGTGGCTTCAGGAAGTTAATAAGAACTCCAAGAAAGAATAAGTTTGGGAAGCACTGGGTTAAAAGAAGTAAAAAGGGCTTCTTTACCATAGAGCCTTAAATATATTAATGTACAATGTGAATTTTGAAGAAGGGCATGGAAGACCCTGCTGGTTTCCTACTCAACAACATTCCCCGTACGTGTCTTTGCTAAGATAACCTCGATTTTGTCGGGTTATAATATGTGTGTGTTTCATGGGCTCCTCCCCAGTTCCTCCCCAGGGAGGAACATGGATAGATCCAAGCCATTCCCCTCGACAAGGACTGCTTTAGATATGAGCATATGATACAGCCCCGCATGTAAGGATGTAAAGGAAATCAGTCTTGGGGATTTCTAGGAAGGTTTTCTTAGCCCTCAAAACAAGTCATAAGACTAAGATTCTTTCCCTTCTGTCTTTGGGCATTGTCATGTGATGACAAGAGCTTGGAGCTGCAGCAGTCATATTGGCCAGTCTTGGGGATTTCTAGGAAGGTTTTCTTAGCCCTCAAAACAAGTCATAAGACTAAGATTCTTTTCCTTCTGTCTTTGGGCATTGTCATGTGATGACAAGAGCTTGGAGCTGCAGCAGTCATATTGGAATCATGAGGGAAAAGCCAAGAAAATCTGAGAGAAGCTGATTTTGATCTCTGATGTTGTTAAGCTGTTGCATTAACCACCTCTGGGATGGCCCTTTACGTTTGTGACTTTGTTGTTTAGGCCATGGAGTATTCTGTAATTTTAAGCTTAGAGCATTCTGAAACTAAAGAAGACTCAATATGCAGACAGTCCCCAATTCATTTGACCACAGACGGTCCCCTCAGAATAGGGGTCTACTGAGAATGCTTTGGGAAAGGTTGATGGAGTAAGGGACGGACTTGGGAGTCAGACACTCCAGTTTCTACTATAGGTTCTAAAAATCCCATGAGTTTCTGTCTCATTTTCAATTCTATGCAAGGAGCGTGTTACCTAAGACAACATAGGTCAAGTGCCTAATACTATGCATGGCACATAGTTGGTGTGTCATAAATAGTTGTTCTTAATAGAATATTGGGAGTGAGGGAGGAGAGGAGTAGTCCAGTTTGACAATTTCATTTATGCCAAAGAGTTCTAACCAATCCAAAAATAAAATCTGTGTTCCCTGGCTTCATACTCATTTAGAGAACTCTCTTGCCTCCACTCAGCAGGAAAAAGATAAAATAAAGATACCATAGATGTCCTAGGCGAGCTCTCAGCTCTAGTGCCCACAGTTCCTCATGTTTCTGCTAAATAAAGCCCCGGGTTCTGCTGGGATGAGCTCCCTGGACGGCCAGTGTCCCTCTGTGCATACTAATTGCTCTGGGACACTCCTCAGTGAGAACATCCACATGTCCCAGGTGCCCAGCCTGCCCCAGAAAAGCAGTCTCCAGTGTAGATGCTCAAGTGGATGTCAAGAAGATTGGGCTCCTCGTCCAGACCGCTGGCTGAGTCTCAGGGCAGCAGCCAGCCGGCAGGTGACCCAGGGCTTTGCTCTCTTAGCTTTGTCCACTGAGGCATTATATCTGTATGCATGTATTACATCCCCAGAAAAAGAATCCCAGGATCTTTCCTCTTGTGTGTTTTTGTCTTGCTTCCTCGAGGCCCATGATGCCAGCTGAGGTCATCAGTACGAAAACCAAACTGATGGGATGAGAGCTGCTGGGAAAACAGAATAATTTAATCAGGCTCCCCTCGCCTCAGGGCCGGTTGGGGGTGGTTCAGTAAACTAATTGTGTGTGTGGGTGGAGCTGGTGCGCATGCGTGGTCCGGGCGTTGCTGGCAGGCCCTCCAGCGGAGGCAGCTTCCCTGGTCATGCTTTCCAACCTGTGGCTTCCAAGGACCTGTTTGCTGGTGACCTAGCTCATAGACCTGCGTGCGAGGGGTCTGGGGATCCAGCCTGGCGGGTGAAGGGTTTGTGACCCAGTCTGTGAACGGGATTGAGGGGTCTGTGAGCTCCAGACCCAGCCCTAGCCTGACAATTGACCCAGTTGGGTTAGGATTACCGGCAGGTAAAAGAGCCCGACAGGAGAAGATGGGTCTGCCATTTTTCTACATCTTTGAGTTGCACATCAAGTCTGGGGCTGATCCCTCCCCACTTGTGTGGCCACCCAGTTCTGTGATCAACAATGACTTCGAGTTGACAGGTGTAGCCATACTTCATCACCACCACTAGGAGCTGGCTGACAACTTCGGAGAACGGCCTCAGGGGACCTGCGTAGCCTCTTCTCGGCGTTCAGGGCGCTCGGGAGAGCACGGCCAGGCTGCGCATGCGCACTGCCGAGGCGGTGCCGAAGAGGAAGAGGGCGGGAGGAGCCCTGCTCCCTCCCAGGCCAACCCCGGAGGATTGCGCGTGCGTGTGCGCGTGCTCACCCGTGCATATCGCCCCACAGTGTTGGCGCGCCCTTAAGGAAGGCGTGAGGGAGCCCGGCAAGTGTTACTACCCCCTTTTACAGACCAGTTAGTAGGGGCTCAGAGAGGTTCAGGGGCCTGCCCAGGGACATCCGCAGTCAGTGGCTCCTAGGCCGTCGCTCTTCCCACGGGGAACAGGACACTCGCTGACCAAGGACGGGAGAGAGAGGTACATGAAGAAGCGTCTGGACTGCCGCAGGCTCAAGCCACCAGAGCATGGCCCTGGTCACGTCACTCCTTCCGCCTGCCCCATTCTCTGAAGGGAGAAGAAACGGAGCCACACAGCTAGTTTCTCAGGAGAAAAGCAGACAGGACTGAAGAAGAACCATGTCGCCAAAGAAGCCAGACGAGGCAGGGGACCCGGCATGTGGGGAACACCTGGTGTGGGGCTGGGCAGTGGCAGAGAAGAAAGGGGGCAGAGGTACTAAGATGGGGGATGGGACCACAAGAATGAGAAAGGGATGTACCCTTGACTTGGGGGATACCTGGGGATTAAAATTCCTCTTTGGACCACACTTTAAATCCGAAGGTTCTCTGGGACTGGACTATGGAAGTCCTAACTTTTGAAATGTTGCAAGTGCAGTGGTCGTGGTGCCCAGTGTTAATTTGTAGGAATAAATACTTAATGAGCGTGTGTCGGTCTGGAAGGGCTTCCTCGAAGAGGTGACTCTTGAACCAAGTTATAAAGCTGTGCCTCTTATTCTCTGACGTGCATAGGCATCACCGAGGCTCTGATTCAATAGGGCTGGGCTGTGGCCTTTGATTCTGCATTTCTAGCAAGCTCCCAGGAGATGCTGATGCTTCTCGTAGCGAAGTTATAAAGGATAAGGAAGAGTTACCCCATTGAAAAGGGGGGTCATTCAGAGAGGACATTCCTGGCAGCAGGCAAAATAGAGCAAAGGGGGAAGGTAAGAAGAACAGCAGAGAGCTGTATGTGGTGGGACCTGGCCTAAGAGACAGAGACATGATGAAGGCCTGGTAGAGTGAATGATGGAGCTTGGATTCATCCTGTGGATCAGGATGGATGTCCCAGCTCAATCGGAATCCCTCGGGCACTACTTAAAAATGTGCATCTCTTGGCTGCACCACCAGAATATCTGATTTATTGGCTCTGGAGAGGGGCTCAGGAATCTGCATTTTTAAGACGCTCTCAAGGTGATTCAAATGCAAACTCAAGTTTGATAACCTGTGTTGGGCAATTAAAGGGTTTCAGGCAGGGGAGGGATAAAATTACATTTTTGTTTCAGATAGATCCTCTGGGAACCAGAGGACAAGGCCAGGAACAGGAGGCTGGAGAAGGGGCTGAAGGGGCTGGAGAAGGGCCGTAGAAGTGGAGGACTAGGACCAAGATCCTGGCAATAGGAATAAAGAGGCGGGTGAGCTTACAAAATATTCATCGATGCTTCATTGTAATTGATGGACTGCCTGTCATGAGTATATGGGAGCAAGAGAGATGGTGAGTTCAATTTTAGACCTGCCAAGTTTGGGGGACATCCGGATAGAGAAGTCCACTGGGCAACTGGATATGAGAATCTGAAGTTCAGGGGCAAAGACCAGGTCTGGGTGTAAATTTTAGAGTCAGCAACTGTAAGCATCACAGTGAACTACGGGCAGCAGGAGGCTTTTCAGATCTTCTCTCAGCCTATGACTTGCGGGGTGGAGTGAGGATGGCAACCTGAGCACTAATTCTGCCGGGAGTCAATACTGTTATCAACAGTGATGTTGATTACCGAGAGTGCAGAGGCCAAGAACCTTCCTGGAGGATCTTGAGGACAGAGGAACTTAACTTCTCCCCTTGGAGACTTGCAGACCTTTTAAATGATGAGTCTAACTTCCCAGAATCAGCCTGGAAGAATGGAGCACCTCATTAAAGGGATCCATCAAATCCATCTTTCTGCTGTGATTTGACCTTGTAACACATATTTTCAGATTCCAAGGGCAAACTATGCTGAACATGATAGTGTCAGGTTCTGGAGCACTGTGTCAGGTCCTAGTGACACTCTGTGCCCTGAAGAGACCCACAGTCAACTGGAAGAGACAGACAAGGAGTTGGACATCCATGCTGCCTTGGGTCGAGTGCACAGAAATCTAAATAAAACTGGGGTTTCAGGGGAGGCTCAGCGCAAGAAGTGACACCTGTTAGATTTTGAAAGAGAAATAGAAGTTGAGTAGATGAAGTAATGGAGGTCAGAGAGAAGAAAAATTCTAGGCAAAAGAAACAACATGTGCCACGCCCAGGGTCATGCACTAGAATGTGATCAGGGAAGAGTGAATATTAAATATACCTGGAGCAAAGGGCATGTGTGGGACAGGGGCAGGAAATGAACCCAAGTGGGGGAGGGGCAGAGCCTGTCATGAAGTGTGGCAATGTATGCAAATGTACAGAATTTAAAATAATCTTTAAAACTCTGAAGAGGGACAGTAACAGCTGGGTGTGGGTGAGGAACAGGCAGGAGGTTTTTGCAATGATTACCCAGCATAAATGGGACTTGAACCAAGACAAAACAGGCTCCATCCTCAGCACTTCCTGCTGGTCCAGCCTCCAAACATGTCTCCAGTTTTTGTCTCCTCCCCACAGCCAGCAGTCAGAACAAGCCACCCTCTCCTCTGTCCTGGGCTCCCACAGGAGCCAACTGGTCTTGCTGCTTTCACTCTTATACTTCACCACAAGGCAGCCAGAGTTACCTTTTAATAATATATGTCATATCATGTCTCTTCTCAGCTTAAAACCCTTCGGTGGTGGTGGTGTGGGGAGAACGCACAGAGGAATCCAAGACTGGTGTCAGTGTTGCAGTTTTATAGCTCTTTATGTTAGTGTTGCAGCTTTTTGTTCAGTGTTACAGCGCTTCTTTTTGCTTGCAAGCAAGGAGAGCACTGGGGAGCAAAAACTCCTAAACCAGTGTCTCTCAGAACAAAGGAAAAGACCATCTCATATAGCCTAAATTCATGCCCTTTTCCCACCCAAGTTCCCATTCAGGTCCTCTTATGTAAATGAGAGAGGCAGTCCAGCTAATTTGGATTGGCTGATTATGGGACACAGTCCATTGGTCACTTTTGGAGCCTAGTTTGCATCTGGCCCTTGGGGGATGTGAGACTGCTGTTACTTCACAGAGGGTGGGTGCAGGAAGCAAGTAAGCTAAGTCGCAGAGGCCAGTCTGCAATTAAGGCAGACAAGCGTGGGGTTTCTAAAACAGTTTCTCAAGTGGAAAAGAGGAAAGGCTTAACAATTAGAAAATGCTTAGGGTTCCCTGCAACAGTGACTTTCCTGAGACTGCTCTTGGAATAAAACGCAACTTCCCTATCCTGGTTCACTTGATCTGGCCCTTTGTACTTGTGTGACCTCATTTCCAATGGTCTGTCGTTGTCTGCACTCTTAACTAACACATTATCCTTCTTTCTATTCCTTAAACCTGCATGGCTCATTCATGTCATAGAGCTTTTGTGCTAGCTCTTCCTCCTGCCTGGACCTTCACACAGCTGGTAATTTCTTGTCTTTCAAGTTGTAATTTAAATGGCACTTCTTCCCACAGACTTTACCTGACAACCCCCTCACTCTACAGGAGCTACTCAATTATTCTTTATCAAATTGACTTGTTTTAATTCTCTGAGCAGCTCTTATTACTATCTGGTATTTTCCCGTTTGTGTATATGTGAGAGAGCTTCAAAAAGTTGGTGGAAAAATGGAATTAAAAGATAAAAATAAAGAAAATAAACTTTATTTCTTAACATAAGTTCCATCAAGTTCAAGACACTTTTGTGAGCCGTATATCAGCCATTTGTTCCATTCCTAAAGAACTGAGGGTCCTGGGAATTTAACCATGTCAATGCAGTCATTTTAACATTTTTTTTTTTTTTCGTGACTGGCAACGGATCGCAACCTTCAGTGTTGCACCCGTACCGGACCGGGACCGGCAACGGGATTGCAACGCTCAGTGTTGCACCCGCACCTCGCTCAGCCAGCAAGCGGCCGGTCTACATGTGGGATCCGAACCCTCGGTGGGAGCGCCGCCGCACTCCCAAGCGGCAAACTGTAGCAGTGCGCCACTGGGCCGGCCCGTCATTTTAACATTTTTAACTGAAGAAAAATAGATGCCCTTTAAAGATTCTTTAAGATTGGGAAACAGAAAAAAAGGAGACACCAAAGCAGGACTGTAAGGTGGATGCCTGATGATTTCCCATTGAAACTCTTGCAAAATTATCCTCGTTTGATGAGAGAAGTGAGCAGGAGAATTGTCGTGGTGGAGAAGGACTCTCTAGTGAAGCTTTCCTAGGCATTTTCATAAAGCTTTGGTAATTTTCTCAAAACACTCATAATAAGCAGGTGTTATCATTCTTTGGCCCTCCAGAAAGTCAACAAGCAAAATGCCTTGAGCATCCCAAAACTGTTGCTGTGACCTTTGCTCTTGACCAGTCTGCTTTTGCTTTGACTGGACCACTTCCACCTCTTGGTAGCCATGATTTTGTGCTTTATCTTCAGGATCATACCGGTAAAGCCATGTTTCACCTCCTGTTATAATTTTTCAAAGAAATGCTTCAAGATCTTGGTCACACTTTTTAAAAATTTCCATTGAAAACTCTGCTCTTGTCTGCAGTTGATCTGGGCACAACAATTTCGACACCTGTTAGGAAAAAACACCAAAGTGTTTTTCCAGCTCTTACTCAGCAACAACACAGAAGACAGACTTCTGTGACCAAGTGTGTGGGGACTTCTCCCCACCAACAAGCAAGCGATTCTGCAGCAGACCCCAGCTGGATGTCCTCTAATTCAATTCCAACACTGCCTACCTGGAGGTAGCATCAGATCCCACAGCAGGGCTCTGTCCAGGACTGCTCATCACCTCAGATGAGATCAGGCACATTCAGGGTGGTATGGACATAGATCGTCCTTCGCGTCAGATGCCAGATGCAAGCCCCAGATTATTTTACCTGTGCTTCTGACTGACTGGCTGTGAATGGGGGTTCCCACACCTCCTCTTCCCTCTTTAGGCTCAGTTAATT